TTTAAAGGCATCTTTTTAAATTCCAGGACAGGAACCGAGGGAGGCATATTAATGGCGACACCGTTAACTGTACAACAGCCCGCTCTTTCTGGAGGCCGGTGCAGAAGGAGGGAGACTGGTGGTGTGTCACTGAGTGTATGTGCATCTCTGTGCGGCTTTATGGATTGTGTGTCTCCATGTTGTGTGTGTGTATAAGGATTGCCTATTTGTGAATGCTTGTGTGTTGTATTTGGTGTGTGTGTGTGGTCCCTCTGGTGTCTGCCCCATGTAGAACTGCGACGGTCACTTGGGGAGACAGAGGGTAGTGGCCGAGGCTGGGCTGAGTCCTCCTGATGCCCCTCCGAGCCCTGGGCCCAACGCAGTGCACAGCGCATGGACCGAGGGGGGCATCTATGCATCCAAGACACGGAACACTGGGGCAGAGGGTCCTCTATGGATGGGGGTCTCTGCCTCTCCTAAAGTCAGGCTCCTCTTCTGGACCCCAGCCATGCTTCCCGCCCCACAGCCTCCTGCTTTGGACACCTGGGGAATACCAGACCTGGGGTGCACAGCCGGAAACCACACGCGGCGACTTTGCTCCAGCTTCAAGTTCGTTCGAAATTAGGCGAACACCCCTCCATTGGGAGGTGCTGCTAGGGTCCTCCTTCCCTGCAGCCCTTCCTTCCCCGGACAGAGCGGGCCGTACAGGCAGGAGTCCCCGGGCGAGCACAGTCACAGCCACCATAAGTTATGGTAATGTAGACATCACTTTAAACCAACCTTTTACCATCTGCTCTGTCCTTTAATAACAAATGCAAAGAGCATAATTCTCCGTGGCATCATAAAGCGGGAAGTGTGATGAAAATGACTGTCTGTGTGCTTTATTCATGGCCCTATCGTATGCTTCTGAGATGTTTTTCTCATTTTCCAGGCACAAATCAAGGGGAAAACTGCTCTCCCCTGATCTGGTGAATTCATTCGCTCAGTATTTCTTCTTAACATGGTAAACTGTGGGAGAACTCAGAGCATTTTGAGAGCCCTGCAAAGGGCCTCCAGACACAGCAGCCCAGTGCCTGCTGTATTTCAGAAGGCACCATTGAATGGCCCCAAAGAATTAAGCAAATGCTGCCCAATGGTCAAAATGTAATGAGATTTCTTTGCAAAAGAAAGTTATCTTGAAGTATGTGGTGGGTTCTTTTCAGTAGCTCTTGATTAAATCTCCCTGTGGAACATGGGCAGCATGGCCAGAAGGCCACAGCAATGCCAGCACTGTCAGGGACACTGCTGCCATCTAGGAGGACTGCCCTGTGGGTGCTGAGATCCAGTGCAACTTGGCAAGCATCATTCGAAGCCCTACTGTGTGCTCCAAGTGCCCAGTCCTGCCTCACAGTCACAGCGTGTCCAGCACAGCAGCCCGCGGAGACGCCTGACTTTCAGCCAACACTGACTTCCCTCCCCTCCTCAGTGTGGTCTCTGGCCCTTCGCCCAGCACCAGGGAATAGTCCAGGCACAGGTGACAGGGACAAGAGCTAGCATCCTCTGATCTAGACTTCACCCTGTGTGCCTTGTCCTCCAACCTTGGTAAAATCCCTGCAGATGGAGAAGAGAAGGGTCTCGCCCACACGAGGGCACCAGGGAGAATGCCCTGCCTCAGCCGGGGTGGCCCTGAGCTACGTACGGCCTCCCCTGAAGGAGGGGCAGTTCGGACTCAACTGGAGCCTTTTCCTGCAATGCCCAGGATAGCCACTCACCAAGCCCAGATGGTCACCAGCACCACCCCAGAAAGAACAGTGGCCGTGCAGATGGGCGCAGCAAAGCGCGGATGTCCCTAGCTGCCTAGGGCCCAGGCCCCCGCCCTTCTCTGGTCACATACGCTGAAGCTTTTTTTGTGTGTGCTGTTCAGGGCGATCTGAGAAGAGCCCGCCGGGTCGTGCAGTCAGGAAGTGTGTTAGAGGGCCTGGAAGCAAAACGGTTCTCACAGACCGTGTGTGCACAAGTGTGTGCCCGTGTGTGTGTGCATGCACAACGTGTGGATGCGCCCACAGTCCTGCCAGCACGAGCAGCCCCCAGGTCGCTGCTGACCTATGCAGTACCAGTGTAATACAACCCTCACCTCCTTCTCACTAGTGGGCAAGGACTTGCGTTTCCTGGAGCAGTGGCTGGACTTGGGGTGCTGACCACCTTGCTCATGACCCTAGTGGGAACAGCTCTGGTACAGCCTCGGTAAATGCTGGTTTACAGAAGATGTTCCGTCAGGCCGAATCTTCTAAGAATTGGGGTTTTTCTGGGGCATGGCTTGTGGCTTGGGGTATAAATGAACCTGGAAGGGATGCTCATCATCAAACTTCTTTCCAGCTGCCATTGCGGCTCTTACACTCATTACTGCACTACAGAAGTGAGTCACCCAGCGAGAAGCCCTCGAACTCTGATGTGAACCCTCTGCCGGCGCGATGGGGGCTCCAGCTCGTCCCTCACCGCCCTCTGGCATCTCGTGTTGTCTCCTAGGTACTCAAGCTTGTGAGACTAAACAAGCGCTGAGTCTGTGCCCTCTGCCCTAGGAAGGTCTCCAGTCACTCCTAGGCCAGCTGCAGCCCCAGCACCCTTCGAGGGGACTTCCTGCAGGAGGGTGGGCCCCTCAGTGTCCCTTGCTCAAGTAAGAAATTTCACATTTTCTCAAAGCATGATCAGTTTAGCTGAGACTTTTCAACACAGTTGAAACAGCCCAACATAAAAAATAGGATATGAAAAAGTGTTACTGTTTTCTCTCAAATTTACTGAGTGTGCAGGTGTTTTCTTGAGGAAGGGCCCCAGCGTGGCTCTTGCATCTTTCAGGTACCCGTGGTCCTGTTCTCAGAGCCATGGTGGCTGTGTCCGCCTTACCGATCACCTAGTGCTTCTGTGCCTTTCCCTTCCTCCCCGACACTGAGCCCTTCCTTCCCCGCCTGCTGTGATTCTGTTTGAACGATGCACAGATCTGAGCTCGGGCGTTTGCTGCGTAGCAATCTCAGGCTTCGCTATATAATAATCTTACTGTTACGTCACTGAGTGGAATAAGTATTTTTAAATAGCCTCTAAAATCGGTTTTGATTCCTTTTTGACCCAGTGATTATTTCAGAACATTTTTTTAAATTTCTAAAGGTCCGTTAAAAAAAAGTTTCTATCGTTAAATTTTAATTTTACTGTTCCATAAAAGGTCTTGGTCATTTTCGCTTTGTGGAATTCTTTAGAGCTTTTCGCAGTGGCCCACTGTATTCATCAGCTTTCCATTGCTGGAGAAAGCCCTGAGGTACACAGCTTAAAGGAGGAAAGGGCTTATTTTGGCTCGTGTTTTCAGAAGTTCTAGTCTGCAGTCCGCTGGCTTAAAGACAGAAAGAACATCGGAGTAGAAGGTGCAGCTGAAGAAACCTGCTCAGCTTAGGGCAGTCAGGAAGCAGAGAGGTGGGGAGAGCCAGAGAGGAGGGACCCAGACACCCAGAAGTTTGTTTTACTAATCTCCTAGGTGTCTCTCCAGGCAGTCAAATCAACAAGATTAACCATCACATCCGCTTTATTGTAAAATGTTGCCATGGTCCTATGAGCCTTGTTTTCGTTTTATGTCAGATTTTCTAAAGATTTTATCAAAACTGAATGCGAATCTGCGGACTCCACCTTACCGGTTATTTCTTCCGTTCTCTGTGGCCTTTTCTCCACTTCCCTAAGGGAGCCCTTGCCCTGAGAAGAGCTCGCTGTCCCTCCAGGGGTGGGTGACTGTGTTTCCTTTGATGTCCCTTTCTTGTCAGGAGACATTTTGCTGCAACTCGTGAGAGACATGCATTGTATTTTTAATTCTACTGTTATCCTTTCGGTTTCTGGAAGACTTCTCTTTAGCTAATGATCTGGTCAAACATAAAATGACCCCACTCCAGATAAAATGCAGACTCTGCCTGTCTGTGCTGTCTCCATTTCTTCCTCCCTTCTGAGGCTGGGCTAGCTTACTTTGGATGTGCAGCCAGATAACCACCATTAAATTGTTTCTCGACACTACACAGCCTCTCTTGGAGAAATATTTTATTTTATTTTTTAATTGAGTTTATTGGTACATTCTAGGTAGACAGTACAGTTATATTCATCATTGGGATCTTGTACCTTTACATGACAGGTCTTGGTTCTCATTTTTTCCCCTATCCATTTTTTCATTTTCTCATATTTTTTTCTTTTCCTTTATTCCCTTTCCCCTACCCTTCCCACTTTCCCTACACCGTTAGCCCTTTTCTTCCTGTTTCACATGGTCAATTATCTCATTAGGATCTTGTGTACTATTATATTTTTTCACAGCACAGAAACTATTCGGGATTTACACGTGTGACTTATTTATTTCACTTAGGAGTATATCCTAAATATGTATCCATTTTCCTATGCATGAATCTAATTTCTTGGAGAAATATTTAATGTTTGCATGTAGCTCCATGATCCTGTTGACCCTGACTGTAGCACTAAATTCTGGGTCTAAGTACTGGTCTCGGTCATCCTGTCAATGCCCCAGGGTCTCTGTCAAGGAGGGAAGGAGGTGGGCTGGGTTCACCAACTTTGCGCATTCAGAGACCTCTGTACCTTCGTATAGGGCGAGCACTTGGCTGATGGCTTGGACCCTCAGAATTCTGAGGAGGCTGCTGTTTCTCGCCCTTGTCTCTGCCCCGCTTTGATGCAGAGCAGCAAGTGTTCGGCCTTGGCCCTCTAGAGCACACTGCGTCCTGTTCGGCCATGTCGCGGATCTCTGCCAGCATCCACGCGCCCTCCATAGACACTGAATTTGAAAGGTGGTACCTGTACCTCTCAGTGACCGGTGGGCACCTGGACCTGTCGTGGGCGGCACGTGGTAAAGCCCTGACCACTGAATGCCCTTCTGGTTCCCAGGGTGGATGGATTAGCTGTGGTCCCCAGCGCGCCTCAAAAACAGACACTGCGAGACACCAGAGGGAGGGCTGGACATGCTGGCCTCACCCTGCTGCAGGCTGACTTCTCCCTTCCGTCCTTCCTTCTAGATCCGGTCTGACAAAGACAACGACATCCCCATCCGGTACAGCATCACAGGCGTGGGCGCTGACCAGCCGCCCATGGAGGTCTTCAGCATCGACTCCATGTCTGGCCGCATGTACGTCACACGGCCCATGGACCGGGAGGAGCGGGCCTCTTACCACGTGAGTATCGGGCTGGAGGGCAGTGGTGAGCCTCAGGAGATGACCCAGGCCCAGCCTAGCTCAGAACTTCCTGTCTGGCTGGTTACAGTGCGGGGCTGGGCACCACCCAGGGTCCAGCTCCTTCCCGGAAGGGGCACTGTCTGTCAGGCCCCCGTCCATGAGGCCTCCTGCTGCTCCCGTCTTGGCTGGGGGCCAAGGATCCCATGCACTTTCAGACCCTCCTGTCCAGCTCCGCCCCGAGGTCATTCCCTCCCTCCCCAGCTCTGGGATCTGCACTGGCCCCACCCAGCCTGAGTGTCCCAGGTATGAGCCCTGGGCAAGGCTCTCGGCCTCTCCCGACCCAGGTCCCCCCACCAGACGAGGTGCAGCTGCCCCCACACCCTGCTCTGAGGATGGGCTGTGTTGATGTGTGGTGAGGCCACCCCATGTGTCTGTGGTGAACGTCACCATGTTGACCTCTAGCTCCTCCCACTTGGGAACAGAGATGGAATTTGCAGCTTCTGCCTGTGCTGTAATTGCTCTGACTTTCCTTCCTTCTGCCCGTGGCACAGGTTGTAGCCTGACCTGCTGCTTCTCATGTCTACTTGCCATGCGTTTGGAATTTACTGTCCATCTCTCGCCAGACGGAGGCTCTGTGTTCACAGGCCACCGTCGGGGTTGCCCACACTGTGCCCCCAAAGACAGAGCCTGGGCCAGGAGATGCTCCCTGTTTGCAGAAGGGACAGAGTTGATGGGAGGAGGTTGATGCTGTCACAGCCGAGAGGCCTTCCCAACTGACCCTGCGCCATCAGAAGCAGGATGCTTGGCTGAAAGGACCGGGGAGCCCCCCTCAGGCTAGTTCCTTCAGAACCACAAAGATTTCCTCCCGCAGACTGGCTGCCCAGGCCCCAGGAGGCTTCAGTCTCCAGCTCACACGGACTAGGAGCTGCTGCGTACCCCGCGGCATCTGCCAGCAAGCGAGGATGCGGGTCTGACGCGAGCCAGGCTCACGGCACCCGGCATCTGCTCCCTGTCCACTGGGCTCAGGCATCCTCCTCCACGGCAACTTCCAAGGAAACCTTGCCCAAACTTCTCGACTCTTCCCGCTTGCCTACCTGCTCACTTATCCACTTATATAGACATGCGTATGCACAGAGGTTCATGCTTACATCCACATCCGCCCACCCACCACCCATTCGCACACCTACCACCGTCCACCCTCCCCCACCCGCTCAGGGTTCACACCTTGAGCACTCCCAGTGTGCCAGGCCTGCGTTAGGTGCTCAGCAGGTGGAGGCGAATGGATCCCACCTGGGCCCACCTTAGGGAGCTTGGACACTGCTGGGACAAGCAGTTCTGGAGTCCTGAGCAAGGCTGCTCCCGTTTCTCCAGCAGTGATGCAGATGCCTGGACATCCCCCAGGGGCCACGATGGCAGCAGCTCCTTGACTGTCTCAGACAGTGGAGGCCAGGGTCAGGGAGAGATGTGAGAAGCAGATTCTCTTGTTAGCTGGGTAGAGAGAGAGATTTCCCTGGGGAGCCGGAATATATAAGGATTGGCGCCGTGTCCTTTTCGAGCAAGAACGATGGCCTTGTTCACAGGCTGAGGAACGCGGAGGGCAGTGATGTGGACGCACAGCCCTCATTGTTGGGATTGCCAAGTTGTTTCAGGCCAAGGCAGAGGCCTGGAGACCTCCAGACAGGCTTGGCTGTGACAGCAGCTTGAGGGCTGCCCCAGCTCTCAGGCCCACTCTGAAGTCCAGGTCACCCTAGAAAAAGGGGCGCACTTTTCCTGCATCCATTCTCACGCCCCACTCTTACGAGGACCTGTGCACTTGGGGCTGCTCTGTCCTGTCCCCCAGCCCCTGCTGCTCCCTCCCTCCTCCCCTTCCCCTTCCTCCTCTTCCCCACCCCTCCCTGCTCCCCACCCTCCCTCATGCACCATCGCCTCCAGAAAGTATTCTTGGGGGGCTCAGCCAGCCACCAAGGCCTGTTAGCTGTTTACAGAGGGGTAAGAGGAGAGAGGGAGACGGCCCCACTGTGCCGACCACCCAGTGCCTCCTGCCAGCGCCCTCCGGGATCCATGAGCAGCTCCTGATCTGGTCCTTCATCCGAGCACTTCGCCTCTACTCTGGCCACACAGGGAGGCCACTTGCTGGTTAAATTCACCTCTCCAAGGTTAGACAGATTAGTTTGTAATTATTGTGGTCTCTGGAAGAAAGCTCCTCGGCTGTGAGGTCCTCGCTTTCACCTCCTCTGCTCCCAGAGGCCTTGGCTGTGGGGCCAGGACCCTGTGCTCTGACAGCCCGCTGGAGTCCTGCTCCACTCAGCCAGCTGCCTCTGCATCTCTTCAGGAAGGGGCAGCTCTTGGCAGGGCCTCCAGCAAGCAGGTGACTGGCTGCAGCCTGGCTCTCCTCAGGCTTGTTGCTTCTACATCTTCAAGAGCCCGACGGAAGGAACGCTGGCTCCATAAACACGAGGCTGGCTCAGAAGCCCAAGCGTGGTGGGATCTGCTCTGGCCAGGCCCCAGACTTGCTCTGTGCACACCCAGGACGATACAGAACTACAGGTCCTGGCGCAAAACAGTGAAAGAGTTTCCAGAGATCGGCACATTCAAATGGGATCACACAGGGCCCCTCTGAGCAGAGCCCGAGGGAACTTGCCAGTCCCAGGCCAGGGTTCTGGGGCCACCTGGGGCTCCTACTGCGGCCCCTCACCCTCCACCGAGTATGAAATCCTGACACAAAAGACCCCCCCATCCTCCCAGAAAAATATATGCAACTGAGCCCTGCGCAGGGGAACAAGTCGCCAAGTCTCCAGTGGCCCCAGGGTCCTTGCTGCCCGGGCCCTCAGCCACTCTGCTCCAAGCCTTGGGCGCCTGAGTCGCCCTCAGCCTCTGTCTCCTTCAAGAGCCCTCCGTGCCCCACCCACTTCCCTCAGGCCTGGGAAGGGGCTCCTGGCCAGCGCTGGAGTGATCTGAACACCATGGCTGGGGCCGCGCACATCCCCGGGGTCTCAGCCGCATCGGCTGCCGTGGCCTGGCCACGAAACCAAGGCAACAGGAGCAGGGCCTGGCAATTCATCGCCATGCTGCACCACGTGGCATCTTGATGCAGCTGTTGGCTCTCAAGGGGCTGCTAGCTGCATTCCACACCCCATCTGCGACAGGAGCAGCAATCCCAACCCACGGACAGGAGGAGGACAGGGATGCAGTGGGGTTCTGCTCACTCGGGGACGCCTCTCTGCTTCTGTCATCTTTTTTTAGCCAAAGCAGAGTCAAGGCCCAGGCACCTGCTGGTCTGAGAGGCAGAGTCTGTGTGGGGAGCAGGTGCTTCTTGGTCTGGATGAGTATCACTTTCAGAGTTCTGCTGCTTCCAGAATCAAAGCTGCCCCTGAGGACCTACAGAGCCTCCTCCTTGCCATGTGTTTGATTCTAATTCCTGGTAGAAACCTGGAGCTCAGAGCCAGCCCCAGTGCTTTCCCTCAACTCCAAAGCAGTTCCTGGCTCAGCTACCTGCAGACAGTTACTCAGGCGGTGCTACCAGCACGGCTGGGACAGCGACCTCCGGGACTCCCTGGGGGTGGTGCGCTCTTCTCGAAGCCTGAGGAACAGCCTGGAGCAGACCTTGCAACTCCACCTGCAGTTGATGGTCCAGACTGTGCAGGTTCAGAGGCCAGCATGGCCACTAGAGGGGCAAATGTTACCCACCCAGACCCTCCTCTCACAGGCAAAATCTATAACACACTCAGTGCCAAGATGGCACTGGGCAGAGGGACCCACCTCTGCCCCCGTTCTCTTTGCAAGCTCACCTTCATTTTTCTGTTGGTTTGGCTGAATGGTCTCCAAAGTCCCCTCAGCACCAGACACTGCCCAGGAAAGGCGCTCACTCTCTCTAAAGCCAGACAGCCCTGAAATGAGCACAGGGGAAAACTGTAGCCACAGGTGACCAGCATTCCCAGGGATTCGGGACCCATCCTGGCCCAGAGAGGCAGCTGCAGTCCCCTCAGGCTCTGATCCTCACCGTAGGTGCCTCAGGACCCCGAATCCCCACAACACTGGAGGAAGCAGAGAGAACTCTGGACTGGGAGCTGGGGAGAGGCCAGGCCCTGTGCTCCCCTCATCCCTCAAGTGCACCAAGGTGAAACCCCCGCACTCAGCTGTGCTTCCCCCAAGATGGGGCCCTAGCAGTCACCGTGCTTTTTGCTCCTGCTGGACTCAGTGTCCTTCTGAGGATCTCCATCTTAGAGGTCACCCTGGGTCCGAGCAGGAAGGAGGGGCATGTTCGTCCTCTATGTAGCAAAGTTATAACACTCAGCAGCCTCCAACACCGCCCACCATCAGCTCTCTGTGTAGGGCAGAAGCCAGGTGGACTTGGCTCATGTTTGTTCTTAGGCCAAAGTCAAGTCCCGGCAGCCTGGGCTCTGGTCTTGGCCTTGGAGAGAATATGCTTCCAGGCTCCTTCAGTCTGTGGCAGACTCTGGTTCATGGGGGTCAGAAATGAGGTCCCCATTTCTTTGTTGGCGTTCAGCCAGGGCACTCGCACCTCCCAAAGGGCACCTGCCCTCCTTGTCACCTACCGTGGTGTGTGGCTGCCAGCACGCGAACGCTCTGCTTTCTAAGTCCGTGTGGGGGCAGATCAGGCCTGCCCAGGGGGGCGCTGTGCCTAGGGCCAACTGTGCCGAGTAGCTTGACGAGTCCCAGGCGGGGTTCTGGTTGTGGTCACTTCTGGGGCCATCTGGAAGTCTGTACCTTCCCAGAGCCTTTGGACTCCATCTGATTTTCTGCCCAGCTGCTTTTGGCTGGTGTGGGAGCAAGACCAGAGCCCCAGCCTGAGGTCCCCTGAGGATCTGTGGACGTGTCACCTTGTAAGTAGACATGCAAGTGAATGTTTTGCAAGATGACACTCTGAAAGGTTCTTTTAAAGATGCACTGATGAAGACGCCCTGAATCCTGACACACACTGTCATTTGGGAAAGTTCCCTTATCTTCCTGGGCCTTGGTGTCCCCACCCGCACAGCGGGGATCGAGACAATGCCAGTCTCAGAGTCTTGTGAGAACGGAATTGGGTTCGGGCACATGGACCTGTCAGGGCACTGCCCAGCCCTGAGCACTCGCACCACAAGTCCCAGCTGCGAGCCACTGGAGGAACATCTCTGAAGATGCCCCCAGGACAACTGGCACGGCCCATGTGGGCTGCAGCAGGGTGCTGTGGCCCCGGGGAAACACTCACAGCCAAGGAGGAAGTGAAGACCGGGTGAGCAAAGGTGAGAGGATTGGACTCCAGACTCAGCGGGAGGGCAGCAGCTCACGTCCTCCGGCACTCACCCCCACCCCTGGGCAAGGCCAAACCCACATTTACCACCAGCATCTCCCGCGACAAGGACAGGAAAAGAGGCCTATTCATGGCATCGCAGGAAATCACTTCTCGAGTGACGCTCAGATGCACAAGTTGTGGAAAGCCAGGTGACTCGCTGACATTTCATTCCCCTCTGCCAAGGCAGCGCCATTGTTAAGCCCAGCGGGCTGGCCAGCCCGGTAGACCATGAGGGAGGCTCTGCTGGGAGACCTCCAAGGACACCGTCAAGAGTAATGAGAATTTTTAGGGACAGGAGCGGACAGAGCTGGCCGACCCCAGGTGGCTACGGCTGTGGCTGTGGCTGTGCCTACTTGACATCAGCCCTGGGCGCTGTGGCTAAAGATAGCGCCAAACAGCACAGTTCAGTTCAGAGAAAATGACTTCCATCCCGGCCCAGAGTTGCTGCCTTGAAGGCTCTCGACCACGGGCTGCACACATACAAGATGAAGGGCTCCCAGGCCTGCACGGAAAGCCCCTCTCAGCTGGCCAAGGCGCTGACCGTCCAGGACGGGGAACCTGCTGGCAATGGATGGGTGGCTGAGGACAGGCACGCAGTGCCTCGAGGTTTAAACACAGTCCTTAGAACTGGCGGGGCGCGCACACGATCGCCGATCGCTTCTCGCACCCAGTGTCCCGGAGCCAGTCCTAATTTGTCCATACAGCAGCTCACTCGCCTTGCCCGTGAAGTGAGCCTGTCGGTTCCCCTGAGACACACAGTTTAAGGGCAAAATCCCATCCCGCGCTGTCAGAAAACCAGCCAGACACAGGCTCCTGCGCAGTCGCAGCTGGCTCGGCATTTCCCGTCGGCGGGCAGGGGATGCCCTTCCTCCCCGTCCTAGGTCGGGAGCCCCCGGGGCACCGCTCTTCCTGGCACCCCGGCGGCGCTGCCTTGTGGGCTGGCGTCACCACACTTAAGAACGGCGCGCTTTCAGCAGAACAGTGAGAACCGAGGACCATGGTGTCGCCACCGTGGCTTTGGTGCAGGGGACCTAGGGCCCCAGTTTTGATCCTCCCCAAACCCCAGGGCCTCGAGGACCATACCCTCTCCCTCTCTCCTGCTGTGGAGCTGAGCCACCCAGTGTCCCCGTCCCTGTCCTGCCCGCCCTTGAGGTCTCAGCCCAGCGTCCCTCCTCCGACAGGCCTCCCTCCCTGAGCGCTCCCTACGGGGCTGCCGTCCTCACCCGGCACAGATCACTTCCTTCCTGTCTCATGGTCCATCCCCTCCTGGTGACACGTGCCAGGCCAGGCACTTGTTTATTACAGATTATCTAAGATGTGGCCCCACACCTGGCAGTTACAGGCCCTTGGAAGACATTTTATTTATTAATTAATTAGTCTCAGCAGCCTTTCTAGAACCTTCCAGCCCAAGTTCAGGCTCTTCCCTTTCTACCCCAAGGTTCCATGGAGCCTCCACCCCTGGCAGGGCAGGCGGGCCTACCCAGCCCTCTGGCCACCCGCTGCCCCGCTGCGCCACAGTCTTATTCCCAGTAGACGCTTGATGAGCCCCGCTCCCAGGGAAGCTCAGGCCTCTGTGCAGCCCTAGGCGTCTTCTCCAGGTCCCTCGCCACCCTAGGGTTAGCATCTCGGGAACAGCCATCAAGGCCTGGGCACACACAAATGGCCCCTCTGCAGCCCCCGAGAGCAGCGTGAGTCTCCTCTAAGGCTGGCACCTCCTCTGCCCGGGCACTCAGGCACATCTGAGCAGGCCCAGGAGGTCCTGGGTGGCCTCAGCCAGTGGGCACTCAAAGAACAGAGAACTGAGGCCGGGAGCAGGTCCTGGGCCTGGCCAGGGTACCGCCAACCACCGCCCGGGCTGCCACTGTGGTCCCCAGGGCCCAGCACTACCCTCAGCACTACCGGGACCCCCGAGGGTGGCCACCAGGGCTGACATGCTGTGTCCCCCCAGCTCCGAGCCCACGCCGTGGACATGAACGGTAACAAAGTGGAGAACCCCATCGACCTGTACATCTACGTCATCGACATGAACGACAATCGCCCGGAGTTCATCAACCAGGTCTACAACGGCTCCGTGGACGAGGGCTCCAAGCCAGGTAAGCACAATGCGCGGGCTCTGCTGGGTGAGGGCAGGCAGGGCCCGGTCATCCGCACACCCTTCTCGTGGACCTCAGGACCCCAGTGCAGACAAGAGGTGCGATAACCCCAGTGAACAGCACTGACCGGAGCCCAGAGGGAAACCGCAGTCTGAGACTCATAGGGGACACCATTGGCCAAGGAGGGCCACTGTGCAGAGGTGACATGCAGTCTGGGGGCTGGCATGTGAGGAGGAGCAGCACAAAGAGGGCCTCGGTCCTGGGGTTGGCCCATGTGCTGCAAATGAGCCTGGGAGACAAAGAAGCACATACAAAGGACCTGGGGCAGGAGGTCAGACAGAGACAAAGTGCTGCCATTTGAGGGCTACACTTTGGATCTGGTCCCAAGCACAATAGGAAATGAGACCAGACTCCCCTAGGCCCAAGAGCTGAGCCATGCACTGAGGCCTGTGCCCCTTGAAGATGACCTAAGAACCCCCTGCAACACAGACCTCTGTGTGGCACACATTGTGACGACCGCTTCATTTTGCGCTGGGGCCCTTGCAAAGTGGTGCCTTGTGTCTGCATCCTGTAACTGCCAGGAAGCAGGCACCCCTCGTCCGCCTTAGCAGTGCGGACTCAAGGCCCAGAGCACAGCCAGCCGTGAGCGGGGTCTGACCCCGTGCTTGTGGCCTGTGGCCCGACAGCAGCACCCGGGAACTTGGTGGTGCAGCCTTGGCCAGCCCCAGACCTGCTGGTTCACCCTGCAGTGGCCCCCGAGACCCCAAATGTTTATAAGAGCTCCCCACTAAGCAGCCTCCTGTGTCTGAGGAAGGGTCCCCCTTGAGGTTGGGGGCAGGCAAGGACCCTGCCACAGCTGCTGGAGGCAGCCACAAAAACTAGATACCAGTATACGAAGCTCAGCCATTCAGCATACATGAAAGGTGTTGTTTGTTGATCTGAACTTCAAGTGTAACTGCAGGTCCTGTTTGGTTTGGGATTTTTTATTGTTTGGTTTTGTGTGAGTGTGTGTGTGTGTGTGTGTGTGTGTGTTCCTTCATTTCATTTTGTGGTTCTGGGAATTTGATACAGGACCTGCACACTGAGCTATGCCTCACCCTTTTATTTTTTTTAAGCTTTGAGACAAGGTCTCACTAAGTCACAAATGCCCAAGCAGGGCTCAAACTTTTCGTCCTCCTGCCTCCACCCCCCAGAGTGCTGGGAGTACAGGGGTGCAGCACCAACACAGCTAGGTCCTGTACTTCAGCGGGCAGCTACACCCTGGCCCTCAATCAGAGCCCAGGCCAGGCCATCCTGTGAGGAGAGGCGAGTTCGTCAGGGCCCAGGAGGGTTGGCCCATCCAGCTGGGGTGGACTGCGGACCAGCAAACATTTATCACCCTGGCCAAGGCCTTCATGGCTCCTTTGCGGGGCAGGCTGCTGCCTCAAACAGGCAAATTGCATTTTCCTTTGACTGTCCTTCAGAATGGTGAGACCTGGGCCAGCCCTTCATTGCCCAAAGGAAAGGGATGTGCTCTGAGCAGTCCCCAGACGGCAGGGCAGGACATGGGTGAGCGAATCAGCTACAGGCAGCCTAAGGAAACAGGAGAGGGCAGCAGCCAGGGAGCCAAGGAAGGCAGGCCTCTCTCCAAACAGACCAGGGACCTATTTAAAGACGCCGGTATTCTTCTGACCTTTCCATCCCAAATCAGATTTCCTACATCTTATTTTAAAACAAATCAATAATGAAGCCTTTCCAAACGTGTAGCTGGCTTTGCTCATTAGGGCAACAAAAGCCACAAATTGCCAAGTCTCCACTCTGAAATCCCCATAAGCCTTTAAGCCTGAGACCCCAGCAGGCGGCTGCTTGCCTTCTGGCCCAGCCTGGGCGGGCGAGAGCCACTGTGAGTCCCAAACCCTGCTCCTGCCCTGCTTCTCTCCCATTCCCTCCGGGTGTGCATTCCATGTCGACTGTCGGAACCCCAGGACCCCGAATCTGCCTCCAGTCCGGGGAGCTGGAGCTCGGTGCAGTCCAGGGTGGAGCCGGGGCAGACAGGGCACCGGAGCCCGGCTCCTGCTCCCCTCTCCCGGCCACATGTGGCCTGTGTGCCCAGTAGCGCTGTCCCTGGGGCCTGGAAATCCTCTGTGAGTCTCCTCTCTCCCATCAGGAAATTACAATAATGGAAGGGTTTTACCCAGACCTTTGTGGGATAAGGAAAAACTACCGCCAGAAATTAGTCATTATTCTCTGGAATGATGGGCTAATGAAAGGGTTCAGATGTTCACTCTGATGGGAAACAAACGCAAGGAACATTAAATATTGACTAAGCCAGGGAACTTCTGAGGGTTGGGGTTCAAGTGGGGACATCAGTAAGCAGCTGGAGCCTGGAATGCCCACTTCCATTCCCTGCCCAGGCTCCCCTCAGTTTCCTGCCCTCTCGGACACCGCTGACTGCTCCTGCGGGGCCGGGTAGGGGCTCAGGCGCAGGGCCATTCTGGCCGGGCAGTGTTCTGGTGGCTCTGAATCTAACCCCAGACCTCTTCCCGTGCCTCCTCCCAGGCCCTGTAGGAAATGGCCTCGCTTCCTCTCACCTCCAGGGTGATGAGTTCCTGGGTCTGGAGTTCTCCAGCTGTTGCTCGCTGCTCTCCCGACTTGAGCCCTTGGCTGGCAGTCGTTCTGGGGCAAGCGCTCCTTGAGCCACACTGGCCTTGGCAGTGGTGGTCCGATTCCCGAGTGGCAGGACAGCCCGGGAGGGCACACTCTTCCCCAGCCCCAAGCAGGTTCCGTGGGTCACTGTCCACCCCATCCTGCCCCCAGCCCTGGCCCACTCTCACCAGGCACTCCGCACACACGCCGGGACGTCCTCCCTGTGCATTCCTTGCTGCCCCTGCTGGCGGGCCACTGAGATACAGTCACTGCCCAGCAAAATGTGCCCACCTAGGCCTTCCTCCCCAGCCCTAAAACTGGCCCTAAGCCTCCTGAGCCCTCAGTCTTGTGCGTCAGTTTTCTGTAATACAGATGTTGTTTCCAGCGTAGGAATATTAGGAATGGAACTGCTAAGGATATTCACTTGTGTACAGGGTTCTGTGTGAACATGTGTCTTCATTTCTCAGGAATAAAGGCCCGTGACTGCAGGTCCTGCCCATCTGGCTTGTTAGTCGGCTTTCCATAGCTATGACAAAATACCTGAGCTTGTCCACTTTTAAGGAGGAAAGGTTTGTTTTGGCTCCTGGTCTGAGCTCATGGTCAGTTATCTGTTGCTTGGAGGCCGTAGTAAGGCAGCAAGAGCAGTTGGTGAGGGAGCAGTTGGTGAGGAAGCAGCAGGAAGTGGCGAGAGGAAGTGGCCAGGACTCCACCCTCCCCTCCCGACCCCACCCCAGCTACCCACTGGGGCCTCCACTCGGTAGCCCCACAGGTTGGGAGCCCAGCCTGTGACGCGCAGCCGTAGGGGCGTTCAGATCCACCGCCGGTGTGTGGTGAGGAACGTCCGTGCCCCTGCAAGGAGCTCAGGGCCGCATCCCCGCGTGAGCCAGCGGTGCCCCTGCGCCTGGGCTGTCCCTGCTCTGTGTCCCCGCACGCGGTACCGTGTCACTGTTGTTGGAAGTGCGTTTCTACAGCGGCGAACGGCGTGAATGCCGTTGCTGGGTCTGCTGCTGTGTCCTGTGCCGTGGACTCAGTGTCTGGGGTTCTCCTAACGAGATGTTTCTGAGGCAGAGTCAGATTCTGCACGTTTGGCCTTCCCAGCGCCATCTCCCTCCCTCCCTGGGGCCTGGGGCTGGCTCCTCCCCGCCTGGCCGTGTACAGCAGCTGACGGGACCCCTCCCCGCGTGGGGGAGCTCGTGCTCAGGTCCTCACGGGGCCCTCGACCAAGCCGCTCTGCCAGCCTTTCTCCACAGGTTGGTGACCTGCACTCCCTACCATGTCCGGGCTCGTTTTGAGTGGGTGATGCGTAAGTGTCTAGCTCACGTCCAGTGTTTCGTTGTTTTCACTTTTTTGCTCCGTCGCTGCCTGTGTGGAGCTGTCCTTCCTCCACAGCTGTCTTCAGACCTTTGTCAGAACCGCATGGGCCAAGCCTGCATCTGTCCCCAGGCCTGTGCGCCACTCCGTGGTCTCTGTCTGTCCTCCTGCCCACACCATGCCATCTCCATGACGGTCGGAGGGCGGTTGGGCAGTGGCCACGTCTCATCCACCTTGCTGTGCCCAGGTCTGCACCACAAGGCCCAACAACCCATTTTCCTCTGCCTGTTACTCCTCAGTAAAACAGGAATAATCGTGAGCTCACGGAGGAGGGCTAGGCGAGGGCCTCTGTCTGGGGCCCCCACACTCGGTGCTAATTATTATTAGGTAGTAACTTACTAGAATTGCTGTAAATTCATACTCGAAATATGAGCTCATTTTCCTGACTCTGCCGGTTACTTTTGCAAAACTGAACTTCTTTTAATCAACGTCAGATCCAGGACAGGTACGGTGGTACAGGCCTGTAATCCTGGTACCCAGGAGGCAGAGGCAGAGGATCGAGTTCCAGCTGAGCCTGGGCTACTTAGGGAGACATTGTGTCAAAGGTCAGCCACCCTCTTTCCATGGTGCCCCAGAGGCCTTAGACGCTGGCGCAGGTGTGTGTTTGCCCTTAGCGCCTGCTGGTCTGCCAGGCAGGCCTCATGATGCTGGAGCTGTACCTCTGGTGTTGCTTTTTCTGGATCCTCACGGTTCCCGATCGGCCGAGTTCTGCGTGCTGGTGGAGTTCCAGCCTGGGGTGGGCCAGCAGACCCAGTTCCAGGCCTGAGCTGCTGGGGGGTGGGCCAGGTCTTTAAGGAAGGACCTGCTGGCTTCTGGGGTTTCTGGGATTGGGCAGGTAAGCCTCATGGGTGCCCGGCTGGCCTGTCCAGCATTTGGAACATTGCACAGCATCCCTACCCCAACGGTGCTTGGCACCAGATGGTCCTGACCCAGCCCTGGGCAGCCCTGTGCCCAGCATGCCACAGGCAGTGCTCTGCAGGATGGGAGGTCTGCCTGCAGCTCGG